CAACTTATTGATCGACATTCAGCACTACAAACGTCGCATAAGGAAGATTCCGACCGCATTCCATTCACTCTCACGTTTCACCCTCACAACCACTCAGTTAAATCCATCATTCTTAAAAACTTTAAATTACTTCAAAACGATCCAGAGACAAGCACTATCTTTTCGCAGCCTCCGCTCATTTCATTCAAACGCGACAAAAACATAGGCAATTTTTTGGTCAGAAGTTCTTTTCAGACTAATGACCAACCAGGCACTTTTAAATGCGCTCGTGCACGATGCAAAACGTGTCCTTTCATTCACAACACTGATAAAATATCGGGACCTAAACGATCCATTAAGATCACCGATCACTTCACGTGCACCTCCGCCAATGTAATCTATTGCATAACTTGCACTTATTGCAAAAAGATATACATCGGCGAAACAGGCAGAAGACTAGGTGACCGATTCCGAGAACACCTTCGAGACGTGGAAAGGAATGACAAGGACACATCGAAACCAGTCGCTAGACATTTTAATTTACCTAATCATTCTAAGCAACATATGGCAATCTGCGGTCTTTCCTTACACTTAGGTAGCACGGAAAGCCGTAAAAATCTTGAACAAAAGCTCATCTTTCAAACCGGCAGTCTAAATCCCACAGGGATCAACGAACGCTTTTCATTCCACTAATTTATTCTTGTTTTTCTCGTTGCCATGTTCCCACCAATAACGTAGCTCCATTCTCTGCCTTTAAAAGCACACACAACCCACAATTCCTCTATTCGCTCCGACGAAGGGCTAACGCTCGAAACGTCAGCTTTTGTAATCTTTACGGTGGCCAATTTACCACTTCAACTTTGTTGATATATCCAGATTATTTGGTTATCGACAGAACTGGCTTCCGGTTTGAAAGCACTTCCGGTGTCGTAAAACGTAAGTCATTTATCAAGAAAAGGTGTCATGAATTAACAGTTCTTTACAAAGGGATATATTCCAACTGCTCGTAGCCGTGATAAAGGAGATGCAAACGAAAAACTGTACTGTAATCGTTGTTCGTCCTTTGAAAAGTATTCTAGAAGACCAAGTATCCAAAGATAATTCTTTCGGCCTCAAAGCAGGAGCATGAAGCCAAATTATAATGGGAGAAGCAGAGCTTTCGCAGTTCGAATTGATGTTTGGTCCTGGCATGACCGCACGAAGGACTTTTTAGTTTGGCAGCTTTCAATTTTCGTCAAGAAGGGCTCGGTAAAGGTCTTTTTCCCCCTTCCTTCACACGCTTAAATGGAGTAGAAATCTGGGTTGTTTTACTCTTTATAAAGCTGTAAAGTTGTCCTAAATTTGTAACTGTACGTGCACAGGGGTTGCAGCATCGTTCTGAACAGTTGAGGTTCCTCATAATCTTAAGACCAACTTGCTCATAAAGATCCGCAAGAACGATTCCAGTCGAGTCTTGTCTTTTCGATGGCTTGAATATATTTTGGAAAGGTAGGAAAGAAGACTTTCCTGTCCTTGATTTTACGAATTTAACTCGAAAACAACAATTACAAAATCCATAATAATTATTCGCCTTTGCTTCCAAGAACGCTTGTGTTATTATTTGTATTTGACATCGTTCCACGTGTGTTAATCTTTATTTCCGCTGGAAACGATGCCGTACCGTGATTGTTTGTTTTCTCAAAGCACAAATTTCGGAATGCATAATAACCATCTGGAGGCGTATTTGAAAGCATTAATAAGTGCTGGCAGGCGTTCCCTTCTCTCCTGCCCCCCTTTCCCCACCTCCTAATATTTCCTCTGGCTCCATTTTTCGCGCGGTCTAATTTTCGCCCAAACTTTACTAGAACGCCTGCTCTGCAGGCTAATCACTGAGAGACATCCACACACCACCGTTAAGCATGTACAGCGAGACCGCTTCCTTATTTTAAACACTAGACAATCGACCTCGTCAACAATTCTGCAAAGCCCGAAATGCGAGTTTGCTGTTTCAAAATTTTTATTTACGAACATTTGTAACCCAACTAAAACAACAAAGAACCGGTTTAGAGCGGCTGTACACCCAAGATAACTTAAAGAAGAACGACTTTTGATGTTTGCGTCGCCTCCGAAATACACCTTGAGCCAGATAAACCTGAATCTATTGTCAGCATACCGATCTAAAACATATTCGGACGGGGCAGGAACTGGTCAAGAGTGGTTTTGAGGGAAAAAGGCGGAATTGCTGTTTATGTGAGAGGTAACCTAAATGTTGTTGATTGTTTATAGATTTAAAACTACATATTTTAATATTAAGACATGATCTATTATAAATACGCAGCAAGGTTCTATTTTTTCACATATGTATATTTCAGCGCACCGCACATGTTTTTATTTGTCTCGGGATATTTATATTTTATTCGAGATTTATTAGAGATTTATGTGCCTCCGATGCATATTTCGAGTTATGGTGCACGCAGAAAGTTTGGAGAGCACAAGAGAGGAGTTGCTCGAAGCGTAGCCGGGAGCGTTCGGAGTTATCAATGCAACACTAAAAATAATACCGACCGTTCAGAAAACTAAGAGGAAATTTTCCTAAATTTAAGAGTCCCGTGTGATAGATTTACCTCCTTGAATTGTTGGTTACTAGAATTGACGATCAGAAATTGCGTCGCTTTGTGTTGAAAATATTAAAAATTGTACGATTTAAAAAAAAAAATCATCTATTGAACAACACTTTTGGTACATACATGCAGCAGCTCTTCAGAATAACATTCACCCCAACGTCGCGAAGCCTCAGTCGAAGAAAAAAAGCTCAGTTTTTTTTTTCAGCCACATTCACGAATCGCGTTTGGCATATAAAGTATCGTCGACTCCAAAACTAATTCCGTCGCTTTGAAGAGTTACATGATGCTCATTGTTCTTAGAAGCAACTATAATTTTAGCACATTTTCTTTTCAAATAGAGCTCCAAAAGGTTAAAAAGAAAACAATCTTANCCGCTGGACAGCGTAACTTGTCCGTCATGATCCTGTCCTGTGTAGTGATTTCCCAGCGTTGTTGGACCAATTCTTCCACTGGCGTTGAGGTTTGTAAAAACGGCCTTGAAAGCTGAAAGGGAAGAGTTAAGTTATCTACATCGTTATAACCATGGTTGTTTTAGCTTTTTCCTTTCAATAGCGGTAAATTTGCATATACAAAAAGGACATGGAAAAGTTAATCTTGTCGATTGATCCTTAATTAAAACTACTCACCATTATTGCAATTATTAAGTTATTTAATATTGAACTTTCTCTATTCGATCATTTATTCAATTCTTTGTCTCTCAATGGACGTGTACCCACTCGTCACGAGATATTTTCCCCAAAAGTTTCTCAAGCATCGCATCTTATTGTGGTTGAAATGTTGTGTTGGTCCTCTTTGTTGAAAAAAGATCGCTTTTGAAATAGGCCTTCAACTAAAACTGTCCGTTCTTTTCCTCATTTTTAAAGGTTACGGAAGTCTTTATGCTTCTTTTTCCCTCTTAAATCTGAATTCTAGATAAACCCATCGTCTTAGGAAACTACTCTGGGATCTCTAACTTATTGCTTCTGGAAATCAAGAAAGCGAGATCTATGAATGCTGCCGGGCTAGTTTCAGCCCTTTCTCCCCTTTCCCTGGGCTGTTCCAGGCGCTATTGCATTCACATTTTCCGCTTCAGCGCTGACAAATAACTGATGATGTCCAGCCATTGTGCGTGACAAAAGTCGAGAATTGAGCAAACCGTAAAATTTTGATTTAGCGTCCGGGACTATAGTGTACTTTCGGATCATTAAGGGAGGCCACTTTTTTTTAACCATGGGATTTAATTCTTGGTTTTCATGTGACGTCATAAAATTTAGAAGTAAGGAATTATCAATCTATATGAGATTTAAGGTTAGGCCCTGTTTACAAGCAGGTAGGGTAACACTAGTGTTAGGGTTACCCTGGCAGGAGGGTTACCCTAACGCTCCCACTTTTCTTCTTTTTTTCATCGACGTGTTTACAAGGAAGCTAGGGTTACCCTAGCACTAGGGTAACCCTACCTCAGCGCTAGGGATAACCTAGCGCTATGGAAACCCTAGCTGCCTTGTAAACGCTCTGCTGGGGATAACTCGCCTACCCGGGACAACTTTTTACTTGTTTCCAGACCCTTTGAACATTGACAACAAACGGTCATCATCGCGACCACTTGCACCGTGGTGCTGGCCGCGGAGCTAAATGGAAATACACTTTGCCAGAGACCGAAAATATTTCGACTGCAAGGTCGGCGAGTCCTCTCGTATTTCGTTCTTCCACATCCAAGCATGATGATGAGTCAAATCAAACGTCCGGACTGGACAAAAGTAATGACTCGCAATCTGGCGGGATAGGGAAGAAACGAAAGCTATCAAATGATTCAGATTTGATCCGGAAAAAG